CAATGTTTCCACGAAAGGGCTTTGCACGATCAATGTCACTTCTGACAATGTCATCTGGGATCACGTAGTCCTCCTTGATCTTGTAGATGGTCTTGCCCTTCCAGAACTCTTCACTCTGTTCAGAAAACCTCTTCTTCTCAGTGCGCCAGTTGTCCTTGTGAAGAACCTTCTTCTTGCTCTTCTGGAATTCCATGTGGGTTTCTCTCTCATCAAGAAGTTGATCTTTTGGAATTGGAGTTTTCTCTGATCGAGTCATCTCATGTAAGTTCATTCTCTTGTCCTTGTGGTGCCTGATGAGTTCACGACGTAGTGGATCAACCTGCCAGTAGTCACCAGTCACCAAAGCTTCTCCTTCATGATCATCTTGTTTGACAGCAATCTGGCTGTACTCAAAGTGATCGTGTTGTGAATAGAAACTTTTGACTTGTGGAGTCTTGAAATGAACTTGGCTCATGTACCATGCTACATCTTGTAGGTCGAGAATGAGATGAGTACTAATGGCTGTCCTCAAAACCATTTTTCTCATGCCAATACGTGCACAGGACAAATAAGCCTTCTCTGGAGTAAGTTCAAATTGAAATCCAAGGTTTCTCATCTGTGGAAGTGACATCAACAATGGGACATCACCTTCTTCGACAATGTCGAATTCTGTAAACTGAGTGTTCCATCCATGATCATACATGAATATCACGAGCTTCTCAGTACATTTTGATTGTTGTGAGTTTGCAAAGAAGAATCTTGAACTTGTTGGCTGAATTTCATACCAGAGTCCACTGTTGGGATGTGAGTCAACATATCTGCAAAATGCTTCAACTGCTCGTCGAGAGCCCATAGCTCTTGTGCATCCAAGATCCAGAATACACACAGTTGGTGGTGCAGAATTCTCTGTGTGAAAAGCTAGTCCATTCTCACATGCCAGATCAGTTTGTACAGTATGAAATGAAAAAGCACTCTGCTGTGATGGTTCCTCTATCTCTGTAGAGCATCCATGTGAAAACAATGATGTGCCTTCTGCCAATGGCTTCCATGAAGCCTCACCTTCTTGAAGACCAACTTGCCTGGGCACTACAGCTGGACGTTGTTGTACACCTTGTCGTAGTGCACCAACTTCTCCAACCAGAACAGGGAATCTCTTCATTTCTCTCCTGTTTTGATGTGCTCTTGCATCACGTTGGTTCTGTCCTCCACGACGAGTACGTCGTTGTTCATCTTGTGCTGCATACGTGGATGTCAAAACATCAACACGTGCTGGCTCTGTCTCTGCAACATCAACACGTGCTGGTTCAGTTGTTCCAAATGAAAAGAAACCATGACCAGAACTTGAAGCTGCAGAAGAATAATGAGCTTGTTGAGTTGGTTGATTCTGTATGGCAGGAGCTGATGTGGTCTGAGGTTGAACATAGTTCGACTTGCCTTTTCCATCTCCTGGCTTTCCTCCTTTTCCATCATCATCCTTGCCTTTCTTGCCTTTCTTTCCTTTTCCTTTTCCTTTTCCTTTCTTCTGGAAGTATCCATACTCATCCATGTAGTACAGATCATCATAGGCCCAATAGCCTTCATTCCAGGTTTGATCATCGGCCCAATAGCCGTCATAGTTTTCATTCCATTCATCTTCTTGCCATTCATCTTCATAACCTTCTTCACTCACCATGTGAGCACGGCCTTTTCTTCTTCCTTTTCCTCGGCCTTTTCCTTTTCTTGATTTGAAGAACCTTCGTCCTCCTCTGCCTTTTCCTTTTCCTTTTCTCTTTCCTTTACCTTTGCCTCGTCTGATGTATTTGCCTTGGAACCTTCTCTGATACCATGTGAAGTTGGCGTCATCATAAACCCAGAAAACATCTTCTAAGGCATCCAGGAATCCTTCTGCGCCGTCTTCTTCATCTTCGGCCCAATAGCCGTCGGTTCCTTCTAATTCACCTTCATCCAGTACGAGGAAAGATCTTCTCTGTGCCATGCCAGAGGGTTGCATCAATGGATTGTCAACTGCTGTTTTGGTAGTGCAAAACATTTCCAAAAACAGGTCACGTAGTTCTTGAATACTGTATCGATCGAGGGTTCGTCCACGATGTGTCATGATACTTGTGAGTGTGTTTCTCTGATCTTGACTCAGGTCAGCTAGACTTACAAAAATCAATGCTAGCAAATTTTCACCCAGTGGGAATGCTTGTCGCTGTGCTTCTCTACGATTTTCCTGAAATTGTCTGAATGCCGCTAGTGCCAGTTCATCTGTCCAAGGAACAGCTACATGGGGTGTTCCTGAGGCTGCTGCTACTTCAGCTCTCTCTTGTTGATCTCGTTCATGTTCTTGACGTCGTTGTTGAACAAACAAATTGCTTCAGGACTAGTCACTGTTACTTCTGGAAGTAAATCCATCCAAGACTCAATAAGTCTATTGCCAGTGAGTTGAAATCTAGTCATCCACTTCTGAAGATCCATGGTTCCTCTGTTGAACTTCATGAACTGCATGAAACGGTATAAGAACACGTTCTGGGCACCTTTGATGAAATGAGGTCGTAGAAATCTTTTGAAATAAGCCACTCCTTCATAGGGATCCCTGAGTAATTCTCTATCCAATAGCCTCTTGTATTGTTGAGCATCTCCTTCCAGTCTGTTGCGCAATGCTGGACCACGTTTCTCTGGTTCTAACTCCGTAATGTCACACCAGTCATCAATTGCATCCTCAAAAGCAAAGAAGCTGGTTCGCCCATCATAGGCTGGAGCAACCTTTGTGGTCATCTGTTGCGTCATATGAATCTGTGTATGCTGGGGTGCTCTTCTCATTGCATAAGAGTCATATTGGTTCCATTCATTTGCATCGACAATGTCGAAGTCATCATCATCATAGCCATGGCTTGACATTTCTTGGGCTCTACCTGGAGCTCACTCTCAATGAGGGATCACTGCTCCGCTACCACTTGAAGAGGGGCCCTAGCGTCTACTTCAAGATCAGCTAAGGCGTCTTCCCCAATGACAGCACTCTTTTACTCTCAGCCTGTTGCCGGTCAGTGCTTGTCTACAGGGTTACTCTATATACCTCTTGAGCCTTGAAGGGCGCATATAAATGTGCTCAATACTCATGCATGTACCTATGTAGGTATTAGGTCGAAACAAAAACAAGGGCGCAGCGCCTCCCCCCCAAAGCAGATTGGAAACACCTATTTTCACATGCAAGGTGCTAGGT